GGGGGGGGGTATTGATTTTAACGAGTAACTCTGGGGAGGGGGGGGGTTTCAACAAGTAACTCAGGTCTTTCTACTGCGATGTTGTATCCCTCTTCGTTCGGGTTGAGCCTAACAAGCAAGGCCGAAGCCTGCCACCAGAGTGTTCTAACTTATGTCGTTTTACTATCGTTTCCATACGACGTGGGGAACTCTGTGCTACCACTTTCAGAGAGAGGAAATTTACTCGTTAATCCGATCCGTACGCTTTGACTAGCAGTCTGTCAAAACAACTTTTTGAAAAATACTGAAAGTTTCAAAGAGGTCTTCACCCTAGAAGTATTCTAAAATGTGAAGAATACAACTCCGGGGGTACAAAATGACCCCATGGTGTACGTATAGGATTAAAACACAAACATGTTTTTAAAAAACCTGCTTACTACGGTTTATATTTAGCTTTCTTTTGTACCTATCTGTTGAAAGAGGGTCCAAACAGTGTGGGCTACCTTCGAAAATGTCCATGTGTCTCTTTTAGGGCACTAAACTCATGCAAGAAGCGACATCACATGGGCAAGGGTTTGTGATCTAATGTTTTTTCTACTAAACATATTCAAACTTGCCGATTTACATTAGATATAATATCGGACAAGGGGGGTTCGAATGCTATGAAGCATCATGGGTTAGTATGTACATGATAATGTGCAGACATACTATGGTCGCTTTTAAGCACAAGGAGGCTATCCCAAAAACTGCTGTTTAGAGAAAATCGAAGGTAAAGTTTTTGCCCCTTGTTCAGTTTCTAAAAGACAAGGAGAGTTCCTCTATAACCAAACAATAATGAAACCAAATTTCTCTTATAGGTAGGGCAATGCCCACTTTTGGCATAGGCCAAGATTTCTCGAAACCTCCGAAATCTGGTTTAGCCCGCTTGTCCTTAAAAGCGACAATGTTAACAATAAATTAGTCATCGTAAACGTTCGGGTATAATACTATTATCTTCCATTGTCTACGATAACTGATTTGCTGCTACTATGTCTCATGTTATTAAGCTTCCGAAAATGGGCGGGCGCACTTTTTTTCTGGTCTGTTAAAGACAATGAGGATACATTATTACCTTGAGCACCAAAGGTGCTGTTATTTATTGTTAATGTCAAACCAGAAGGGAAACAGTCTAGCCAAAAACCAAATTGTTAAAGAAGGATCATTTATAAACCATTAGGTCCGTACGTATTGTTAACCAAAGCGAAACGCGAGCACACCTTTAACCCTATCCGTACGTCGTGTTTTACAATCGTATCCATACGACGTGGGGAACTCTGTGCCACCACTTTCCAAAGAGGAAATTTACTCGTTAATCCAATCCGTACGCTTTGCATAGCTGTCTGTCAAAATGATTTTTTGAGAAATTCTGAAAGTTTTAAAGAAATCTTCGTACTAGTATTCAAAAATGTGAAGAATACAACTCCTG